AAGAAAGAAAGAAAGAATCAAATTTACAAGATATGTATTTTACTAGATTTAGAGGAATAATGTTTTTTTTTTTTTAAAAAAAAAGAAAAAGAGCAAAGTTTTTATAAAACGAGAAATCTGCATTTGACCTAGAGCATTGTTTCCAGTGGTGGGATTCAGCCAGTTTGCAGCTATTCTGGAGAACTGGTTGTTAACTTTCTAATCAGTTCGGAGAACCGGTTGTTGGAAGAAATATTATTTTGTTTTTTCCCACTTTTCAGGGCTAATCCTGTAAGGAAGGCAGGAAGGGAACATTCTGGTGTTGTTTCTAGCCTAATCTTTATTGCCCTGCTTACAGAAACTGCCTCTCTGGTTAACCCTTATTACATTGTAACAGCTAAGGCAAAGCGCCCATCGATGTGAATGACATTGAGTTTGGCCACGCCCACACGGTCACATGACCACCAAGCCACGCCTACCCAGCTAGTCATTAGGGCAGAGAACCGGTTGTTAAATTATTTGAATCCCACCACTGATTGTTTCCCCCTTCACTCCATCATCTCATCCTCATTTGTCCAGTTGATAATGTTGATATTCAGATTAGATTTCAGGCTAGACTTGTAAAGGGTTCCAATAACTTTACAAAAATTTGCTTTGACCCTGACCATCAAAATGTGTCTCTTCATCATCTAAAATGCTTTCATGTATCTTATCTGTTAGTTAGATAGCCTAACTTTCCACAAGGGGAACATCAGACTAAACTTGACATTTATTTATTTTTTTAAAAAATGACACAACAATGCACTTGATTAGATACTTGGATCAAAAAGATTGTTTGCAAACGATCCTTCTTGACATCTTGGTAGCTGGTGAACAGTCACACCTGCTCCCTACCTAGTCAGTTTTCAGGATAAGATACAATATTTGGACCCTGAAATATTCTTGGACTTTTAGACAGCGGATTCTGTCTTCTGACTTGGTGGCTACAAAGAATGTGACATGTTTACTGACCCCAAAGAGTGATATAAAATAAAATAAAATAAAATAAAATAAAATAAAATAAAATAAAATAAAATAAAATAAAATAAAATAAAATAAAATAAAATAGGCTATTATAAATGTAACTGTGTTTTAGTATGAGGGGTAAGGTCCTTGAGAATTAGTATGTATGTATGCGTGTATTATACTGTCCATTTCTGAATGTTCTAGGCAGCTAACTATACATGGTTTAAAATGCTTGAAGGAAGAAAGGAAGGAAGCCTAAAATATATAATAAAACACAAATCCATATAAATAAACCATATGCACCATGAATCCCATGAGCTAATCTAAACCATACTCTTTTTATGACACTTGGAAGAGAGAAACCTTTTTCTTACAAATTTTCTGAGGCATAGTCCACGGTAATACTGTTCAAAATACATTATGCACCTATTCTATCTTTTTCTTCCAAAATATTTTTGGAAAGAGTAAATAAGGATGGGAGAAGAGTGAACACATACCAAGTGAAGTTAACATTAACCAGACTCATCATAAAATGGGAAGAGGACAGAAGAGCCATGATGGCACTGTGGTTAGAATGTGGTATTGCAGGCTAATTCTGCTGACTGCCAGGGGTTCGATCCTCACTGGCTCAAGGTTGACTCAGCCTTCTATCCCTCTGAGGTTGGTAAAATGAGGATCCGGATTATTGGGGGAAATATGCTGACTCTGTAAACTACTTAGACAGGGCTGTGAAGTACTATCAAGCGGTATATACCCTGTTTTCCCCAAAATAAGACATCCCCTGATAATAAGCCCAATCGGGCTTTTGAGCACATGGCAAAGTCCAAACGCTTATTTCAGGCTTCAAAAAGATATGACAGGGTCTTATTTTTGGGAAAACACGGTAAGTCTAAGCGCTATTTCTACGTGTGTGATTGCACCAGTGGGAGAACTGGTAGTGGCGGTGGCGGGAGGCTCCGCCCATCCACCTAGATGTCATCAAAAACACTCTGGACATGTGCAGAAGCTTCTGCGCATGTGCAGAAGTGCCGCACACTTCCGATAGCGAACTGGTAGTGCCGGGATTTGAATCCCACTACTGGATTGCACGTATCTTGAAACATTTATACATTCTAGAAACCGTCATGAAGAGATGTGAATTATTAGCCAGTGATAGTTAAGATGTTGTTGTCTTAATTGACTTCTGTTTGACCATAGGTTTCCATGGAAAGAAGGAAGTAAGGGCAAGGGATGAAACATGCATTGTAACACAAACTGCAGGCCTTACACATCTGACTTTGATATCATGATGCAAATATGGTGGAACATCAATACTCATCGTTAATTGTTTCCAGGGGGCACAATGAGTACCAAAATGATGAATATTGAACATTCCCCCCCCCCAAGGAATAATGTAGTGAGTCAGCGACATGTTCTAGCTGGTGTGTTGAGTACCAAACAAACAATGAGTATCGGGACAAAATGTTCCCATCACAGTGTGTTGAGTACCAAATTTGATGAGTTTCAAAGCAGTAGAAGATGCTTTGTATAGAAGCTGCATTGTGATGATGGAGCACCCATTTGCACATAAGTGCCGTTTATCCTGGATACCTTGTTTGATGTCAAGAGCTGTAGAATCCATATCCTGATCATGATTATTGTCCTCTTCAATGTAGTTTGCTCTCTTTTCACGTTAACTACACCTAAAGGGCTTTACAGTAACGTCAGTTGGGATCATAAATGCATTAACACCTTTAATGCATTAACCTGTAAAATATAGCCAAGTTTCAAGGCAGATCTTTAACCATTAATCAGAAGGAGAATTGTAAGAGCTGTGGAAACAGAGTGGGCTGCTAGGGATTCGCAGGGGTTAGGAAGAACCTCTAGCTAAGATTCTGTGCAGTTCGGAGAACCCGCAAATCTCACTCCTGGCTGGCATCGCCCACCCTGCCCCTCCCCTCCCTTCTCAGGAGTCCCCACGCATTTTGAATGCAGGTAAGTGCAGGGCATGCAAGGAAGCTTGGGAAGGGCGAAAAACGGGCCTACCAAAAGTTCAGGAAGGCTGGAAACGGGGCCATTTCTGGCCTCCAGAGGGCCTCCGGAGCCTGGGGAGGCCGTTTTCATCCTCCTGGAGGCTCGAAGAAAGTCTCCAGAGGCCAAGGAGGGCAAAAGTACCCCCCCACACACACACACCATGGTGCAGGAAGCCGACTAAACCATGACCACCATGACCACGCCCACCATGACCCAGCAACCGGGCAGAGAACCCCTTGCTAAATTTTTTGAAGCCCACTCCTGTGTATTTTCATCTCAATATTTTACAGGAGCTTCTATACCGATGTTTCTGGAAGCTTTGGGGTTGAATTTAAATGACTTTTGGCAAACTTCTTAAAGTTGCTAATTCACAAGAGAAGGAAAAGCTAAAAGGATTAAATAAAAGTTTACCCCGGGTTCATTTTAGGTAGTTTTACTTGGGTTCTGCAGGCTTGGGAAGCCAAAAGAGAGAGACTTTGTTTATTTCTTTGTTCATATTTTTTTTGGAGGGTGGGGGTGGGAGAAGATTGGCAGATGTTTATATTTATTATTTAGACTCCAAGTACTGCAAGGTAATCTCTACTTCTGAACCACTGCACTGAGGCTAGAAAAGAAATGAAACATCTGGAAAAAAATGTGATTTCTATTTCTGTATTAGAACATAGAATCATAGGACTGGAAGGGATTTCAGAGGTCTTCTAGTCCAACCCCCCTGCTTAAGGGTGTTGTGCCTTGTGATTCTTGATGAGTGTATCTTGTCTTTTTACGTACACTGAGAGCATATGCACCAAAGAGAAAATCCTTGTGTATCTAATCACACTTGGCCAGTAAAGAATTCTATTCTATTCTATTCTATTCTATTCTATTCTATTCTATTCTATTCTATTCTATTCTATTCTATTCTACTCTACTCTACTCTACTCTACTCTACTCTACTCTACTCTACTCTACTCTGTTCTATATTCTGCCTTCTATTCTATTCTATTCTATTCTATTCTATTCTATTCTATCTATTCTATTCTACTCTACTCTACTCTACTCTACTCTACTCTACTCTACTCTACTCTACTGTGTTCTATATTCTGCCTTCTATTCTATTCTATTCTACTTTACTCTACTCTACTCTGTTCTATATTCTGCCTTCTATTCTATTCTATTCTATTCTATTCTATTCTATTCTATTCTATTCTATTCTATTCTATTCTATTCTATTCTATTCTCCTCTCCTCTCCTCTCCTCTCCTCTCCTCTCCTCTCCTCTCCTCTCCTCTCCTCTACTCTACTCTACTCTACTCTACTCTATTCTATATTCTGCCTTCTATTCTATTCTATTCTATTCTACTCTACTCTACTCTACTCTACTCTACTCTACTCTACTCTACTCTACTCTACTCTACTCTACTCTACTCTACTCTACTCTACTCTACTCTATTAAGACCAGAGACCTTATACCATCCTGATGAAATGATTGTCCAGTCTATTTGGTACAGATCTCCTGGTCTCAGTAGCCAACCCCAGAAAATATGTTTACTTTCTTTTCTTTTTCTTTTTCTTTTCCTGGATGTGAAAGTGCTCGGGACAGAGTTTTCTTTCTTCAGGAACTTCTTTCCAGATATTCTAACAATTAAAGCCCAATTGCACCATTTAACAAATGCTTGCTCCCTGGTGATACTGCCATATAATTTTCTCAGCAGCAGTACAGGAGTGGCTTGCCATTTCTGTCTCTCTAGCTGACTATTTTGGGATCTCCAGGAATCTTCCATTGAAATGTTAAGTAGGTCAACATTCCTTATTTTTTTTCCCAAGATCAGCTACAAGTTATGACCTGATCTCCTCTCCCCTCCTCTTCCCCCCTCCCCTCCCCTCCTCTTCCCTTACCTCCCCTTCCTTCCTGTTCCTTCCTTCCTTCCTTCCTTCCTTCCTTCCTTCCTTCCTTCCTTCCTTCCTTCCTTCCTTCCTTCTCCCACTAAACATCTCCCACCAAAGATAGTAGAACATACATACAGTTTTTTGAGCTATCTTCATGCATCCTTTATTCAAAAATGATCTCTGGCCGTCAGTTAAAAGGAGTGCAGTCAAGGAAGTATCTCTTATTCAATCTTAGGTGTTGTTTGCCAGTAGAAAGAATTCAACTCTGTTCTCTGGATCTTCTGCGTACATATCCCAGCCAAACAACATAATATATGTTCCCAGTTCACCCTTCTGCATCCTAACATTTCAGCCACCTGCGTTCTAATCATCTGCAAAGAGTTAAGCACAGTAAACAGTTTATATTTAATGGACTTTTGCTTTAGAAGCACTTCATTCACGATGGAAGTCGACATCAATAGAGAACATTCTAGAAGTTCTACGCACTAGCCATTCTAGCGGAGAGCATAACAATAAACCTGTTCCCATTATCACAGCAGAGAGCCAACAATAGGTTCTTCTGGAAATTTGTATCAAAATTGCAGGGCGGACATCAGTTTTGTTTTTTTAAAAAAAGAGTAAGTAAAAATGTATAGACATTTAAGTCATTTGAAAGTGGGGGGGATTGTGAAAGCAAAAATTGAGATCTAAGGAGGGTATAATCACCATTTCAGTGAGATTAAATACCTATCCTGCAAAGAATGGATTTCTCTTTCTAAGAGGTAGGTAAAGAATTAAATTATTATCATTTAATATTTTTTCTTCTGAGTTCTTTTTAGTGTATTAAAATTATTATTATTTTTTTGCTGTGAAGGATGGAAAATGGGTCTCTATGTGTGTTGACATAAGGCATTATTATCGCAAAGCAAAAAAAAAAGACTCTGAAGAGAAAAATGAAGTGTAAGTGTGTATAAGTGTACTATATACAAAGGCACGCGCTTGAATATCGAGGTTTTTCAATCTCTTTGTATCTGCTGTAGGAAGTTAGCACGCACCCCTCTCCTAGAAGAATGAAATATTCTAGGAAATATTAAAAAGGCAGAATATCATATCTCTCTGGATGGGAAATAGAGAAACATGTTTTTTTTAGTCAGGAAGCAACTCACCCTTAATAGCCTCATCCTCCTCAATAGCCCACAGCAGATGTCAGCACTTAAGAAATAAAGAGCTAGCTAGGTCTATTCATAAGCAAATGCCCTCACCCAAGATCCAACAAAGATAGAATTAGCCCTCTACTCATCTAGCAACAGAACTCACCCCATGGCACCTGGGGAGATTGCATCACCCAGCAAGGCTCAACCAAGCTTGGGACTCAAAAGACAACCTACAAAGTTACTCCTACATGGCCCCATGGGAATCTGACAACCAATCAGAATACAAGCTCAACATTCAAAGCCCAACAGAGCAGAGGTGGGTTTCAGCAGGTTCTGACCAGTTCTGGAGAACTGGTAGCGGAAATTTTGAGTAGTTCGGAGAACCGGTAGTAAAAAATTCTGACTGGTCCCTGCACCCATCTATTCTCTGTCTCCCAAGTCCCAGCTGATTGAGAGGAAATGTGGATTTTGCAGTAACCTTCCCCTGGAGTGGGGAGGGAATGGAGATTTTACAGTATCCTTCCCCTGCCATGTCCACCAAGCCATGCCCACCAAGCCACATCCACAGAACCGGTAGTAAAAAATTTTGAAACCCACCACTGCAACAGAGGATATAAATCTCTCTCTCTCTCTCTCTCTCACCCATGTGCCTCTTTGCCCAGGACCTCAAAACCACGTGGCCCTGCCCACTATTAAACCATCTTTTCAAGAAGCCTCCATGTTTCCACTGTCTTTCTCCCCACTTGGAACTGAACCCAGATGGACATTTCTTCCACCACTGCAATGTCCCTCCCTATATTGATATCTAATGACTGCATTCTTCTGCATTGCTCTCATTCTATTTGCAATAAGACTAAATTCCTGGGCCTCTCTATCTCCTGAATGTATTAGGGAAGGAGCGGCATAAGCAGAGTTTGAAATGGAAAATATTCCATCTCATTTCCCCCCCCCCTTCCTTTCCCTCCAGGATTCTCTTCTTTTTAATTAGAGAGTGTCTGTGTTGAAAACCGATTACTGTTCTGTCAGCCGCACGTTGAGATCCAGTCCTTCTGCTCGGCGGAAAAAGGAAATTTGCATCCTTTGCTGTTGATTCAATTACAGCTTGTGAGATTTTTGAGGGATGAGAGTAGGGGGCATTAATCATGGCATGCTACACAGATTACAAGTTGCAGTCGCTTTGAGATGTGTGAAACCTGCCTCTTCTCCTTGGATATCTTTACCTGTCTGCTTGCAGGCTCTGAAGATTTAGTATATTTATCTACGCAAGCAGCAGTGTTTCTATTTGCAGAAAGGATCCCTGTCCTGTGTGCAAGTAGAGGTATGGCATATGCAGAAACAGACATTGTTGTGCATGGTTTATAGGTGCAAGGAAGGGTGTGACAGTTGGAAAATGTATATATTGCTGCGCCTTTTGTTTTGTTGTGTTTGAACACAGAACAACATGAGAGTTGGAAGGGACCTTGGAGGTCTTTCAGTCCAACCTCCTGCTCGAGCAGAAGATCCAAACTAATGGTTGTCCAGTCTTTTCTTAAAAGCCTCCAGTGATGGAGCATCCATAACTGTTGAAGGCAAGCTGTTCCACTGGTACATTGTTCTCACTGCAAGAAATTCCTCCTTAGTTCTAGGTTGCTCCTCTCCTTGATTTATTTATTTATTGGTTCGATTTATATGCCGCCCTTCTCCGGAGACTCAGGGCGGCTTACAATGCATTAAGCAATAGCCTTCATACTTTTGTATATATACCTGCTTAGTAGGGATTTTGCCCCCCTGCCCCCAAGCAGTGTTCTTTTTTTATATATACAAAGTCAGCTTATTGCCCCCACAATCTGGGTCCTCATTTTACCTACCTCGAAAGGATGGAAGGCTGAGTCAACCTTGAGCCTGGTGAGATTTGAACTTGCAGTAATTGCAAGCAGCTGGTGCTATTTAACATCACTTTAGTCTGCTGCGCCACCAAGGCTCTTCTGATTGGTTCAGGTCCATTGATTCTTTTTTTTTCCTCCAATTTTTATTTATAAGTACAAACTAAACAGAACAATGAAACGTACAAAACATAAAAACATATAAACACCCATTTCAATACATGTCCAGTTTGTCGCAACTGTAATATACATTTCTCTTTGTATTTTGACTCTTCCTTATTTGGTCCTTCCCTTTTGTCTATCTACTATTGATCTTTGTTGACCTTTGTCTGTTCTTTGTTTCCATCATACTATATTTGGTCATTTTGTTTACTTCCTATGGCTTCATCTCTTTCCTATCTTTCAACCAACTATACCACTTTTCCCATACTAAGTAAAAGTCATGTTCTTCCCTATTTTGTAATTCCTTTGTGAGGCTATCTACTTCCGCACATTCCATAATTTTATTGATTACTTTATCTGGTGTTGGTATATCACTACTCTTCCAGTCCATTGATTCTTGTTTTACCTTTTGGTGCTTTGGAAAATAAGTTGACCCCCTTCTTCTTTGTGGCAGCCTCTCAAATATCAGAGCTCTGTTATCATGTCACCCCTAGTCCTACTCAATCACTACAGCCAATAGTCTTATTACCTGACTAGGTGGGTCAGTGGCTAAGACACTGAGCTTGTCACTCAGAAAGGTCGGCAGTTCAGCGGTTCAAATCCCTAGTATAGGTCTCCTGTGTGAGCAAGGGGTTGGACTAGATGACCTCCAAGGTCCCTTCCAACTCTGTTACCGTTACTGCCTATGAATATAAGGAAGAAAGAGTAATGTATGTTGAATTGGTGGAGTAAAAATGGAAAGAATAACTTCTACTGTTAGATCCCACGGATGCTTCTTTCAAGAGGCAGCTGGACTTTCTGGTTTTTCTTTGGAGACGTTTCACTTCTCATCCAAGAAGCTTCTTCAGCTCTGACTAGATGGAAGGGGGAATGGAATAGTGGGGAATCTGTCAGGGCTGAAGAAGCTTCTTGGATGAGAAGCGAAATGTCTTCAAAGAAAAACCAGAGAGTCCAGTTGCCTCTTGAAAAAAAAAAACACCTTTAGGACAATCATGACCTGAATGACTGAGAATCTCCATACACATTCTACTGTTAGGGCTTTTGTTTTTATTTTTTAAAAGAAGCAAATTATAAATAATTTATTTATCTAGTCTCCCATCCACATTTACCTCCATAGTGCTTTCTTTTTCTTTTTCTTTTTCTTTCTCTTTCTCTTTCTCTTTTTCTTTCTCCTTCTCTCTCTTTCTCTCTCTCTTTCTCTTTCTCTTTCTCTCTCTTTCTCTCTCTTTCTCTTTCTCTTCCGCTTTCTCTTTCTCTTTCTCATCAAGAGCCACTACACACAGACGGATCCTGGACATGGACTTCAAATGTCGTATTCCTCTTGTCAAGCCACTCCTGAACAACAAACGACGTCAGAAGCGTCTTACCTGAGCTAAAGAAAAAAAGAACTGGTCTGTTGCTCAGTGGTCCAAAGTCCTCTTTTCTGATGAGAGCAACTTTTGCATCTCATTTGGAAACCAAGGACCCAGAGTCTGGAGGAAGAATGGAGAGGCACACACTGCAAGATGCTTGGAGTCCAGTGTGAATTTTCCACAGTCTGTGTTGATTTGGGGAGCCATGTCATCTGCTGGTGTTGGTCCACTGTGCTTGACAATGCAGCCGTCTACCAGGAGATTTTGGAGCACTTCATGCTTCCTTCCACAGACAAGCTTTATGGAGATGCTGACTTCATTTTCCAGCAGGACTTGGTACCTGCCCACACTGCCAAAAGTACCAAAACCTGGTTCAATGACCATGGGATTACTGTGCTTGATTGGCCAGCAAACTCACTTGACCTGAACCCCATAGAGAATCTATGGGGCATTGCCAAGAGAAAGATGAGAGACATGAGACCAAACAATGCAGAAGAGCTGAAGGCTGCTATTGAAGCATCCTGGTCTTCCATAGCACCTCAGCAGTGCCACAGGCTGATAGCATCCATGCCACGCCGCATTGAGGCAGTAATTGATGCAAAAGGGGCTCAAACCAAGTACTGAGTACATATGCATGCTTATACTTTTCAGAGGTCCGATATTGTTCTATGTACAATCCTTGTTTTATTGATTTCATGTAATATTCTAATTTTCTGAGATTGTGAATTTGGGGTTTTCATGAGCTGTAAGCCATAATCATCAAAATTGTGACAAATCAAGGCTTAAACTATCTCGCTTTGCATGTAATGAGTCTATCTCATATATTAGTTTCACCTTTTAAGTTGCATTACTGAAATAAATGAACTTTTGCACGATATTCTAATTTTTCGCGTTTCACCTGTAGATTAATTGTAGCAGCATCTAGTTGATCGTGACTGATCTCAGAAAGCCATTTCTATTTTGTTGTCATTTTCATCTGTTTTGTTCCCACTTCCAGTTGATGTTAAAGGCCTCCAATATTATCGCTTTTTGTAACTGAGATTTCCACCTGAAGTCACCAGGAGTCAAACTCTACTCAAAGAAGATTGTACTTTGTGTTTAAGGAAAATAAATTACCGGAAATTCAAATAAAACATAAGAAATGTAGCAAAGCTGGAAAATACAGGATAAATTCTTGCACATTAAGAGGATTTTACAATATTTCATTATCCCGTAAATGGCACACACATGCAATCTTTCTTTTGCTTGTTCTGATAAATGCAGCAGTGAAATTATGATTAATGATGACTCGTCTGAAGTCCCTGCCTAGAATTCCATCTGCAAAACAGTTTATCCAATTATAGGTCCCCTTCCTGCAAGAAAACTGTTTTTCTTTTATTAGCAATTTAAACATATCTGCTTACTGGTATTTTTATAGGTTGCTCAACTGTGTGAAATTGCCTCTTCAGACCAAACTTGGGAGGTTTTAGGTTCCTTTTATTCTGAGAAACTGAACTGCTAAGTGTTTTGCAAATTAATCCAGGATAGATTGGGGAAAAGTGCTAAAACTGCATATCTCTAAAAAAAAATAAAAAATAAAAAAAAAATCACAGCTTTATAAACTCATCAAGCATACATAAAATTATTCTTATTACGGAGGTGGGATGCTGCAGTTTCATACGATCTTAACCATATGATATATACAAATTAGCCAGTGGTCTATTTTCAAGCTTAGAATAAGTAGAGCCTTCGGTATTTACCCATTGAATTTTAAATTCCATACTGTGAATAAATCTCAGCTGTTCGCTTATCTATTTGCTGGAACTGAAATAATTGCTCCAGGATCAGCAGCCACAGTGAAATATGGAGCGAGGTGTCACTCATCCTGTTACATACGAAGGCTAGACAAGTTTAACTGAGCAAGGGGATATTAGTATTTGGTGGATACACACATATCAAGTGTGTTGACTTAGTCAACTAAATTCCAAGGGCTTGCAGTGGGTTAAACAAATTCTACCTCACAATGCAGCACTTCATCAACTAATTAACTCACAATGAGTTATGATGGAAGGTAAGGTAAGGTAAGATAAGGTAAGGTAAGGTAAGGTAGGAGAGGAAGGAGAGGAGGGGAGAGGAGAGGAGAGGAGAGGAGAGAAAATGGGATAGGATAGGATAGGATAGGATAGGATAGGATAGGATAGGATAGGATAGGATAGGAAAGGATAGTGGAGGGGAGGGGAGAGGAGAGGAGAGGAGAGGAGAGGAGGGAGAGGAGAGGAGAGAGAGAAGAGAAGAGAAGAGAAGAGAAGAGAAGAGAAGAGAAGAGAGAGAGAAGAGAAGAGAAGAGAAGAGAAGAGAAGAGAAGAGCATTCATGCACTGATATGTATACAGTATAAAATAAAAAAATAAATTGAAAAAAAAAAGGTCTACAGGAGACACAGATAGTGAGATAATTGATCAGATGACAAAGGTCCAAGAAGGGGAATGGCGGCCCCATGGCAGAGGCTCAAAAGGATTGATGGCTATACAGCAGAAGATGGGGAGCTGTCTACTGAAGAATTAAGAGGATTCAAAGAGATGCGATTGGGAAAGAAATCAAATCAACGCCGGAAAAGAAAACTAAGTAAAAAGGGCAACCCTGACTTGAATACAATTATAGAGTGAAAAAGATGGTTAAGACACTGGAGAGGAAAGTTGAGTTTCCATAAACAGCAAAAAGCAAAGCTAGCTAAGGAGGGAATTAGCATGCCAACGCCTTCTGAGATACACAACTGGTTGAGAAGAAAGGAGGCAATTGGATACATAAGTAACTTTTAGACAGAGATCTGATGAACTTTGAAAAGATATTTTTGTTAGAGTTATATATTCACGTGTGCACTCGCTTGGAATGGAAACAGGTCACTGAGTGTGAGTTCACAAGGTTTTTTATTGTAGTCCTTTGTAAACAATGATAAATGTCACTTCGATTAACATCTGAGCTCCATGTGTGTCTAGAATGATTCTAACTCAACCCATCTTCTGGCACTCCTGGGCTGCTGGGACTCCTTAATTGTCAATTCTGAAGTTTGTAATGGGAACAAAAGTCTTACAGAGACTCACTGAAAACCTAGATTTCTCTAGTATCCCTGTCTTGATTATTTTTATATGTATCTATAATATATGTATTTATGTGATTTATGTACAGCAGTGTGGTGGCCCAGAGGTGGAGCATTCACCTCACAATCAGGGGATGAGAGTTCGATCCTAAGTAGCAACAAATATTTCTCTCTGTGGACAAAAAGAGAAAGTATCTGCTGTGACCTTCACATAGGCGTCAGGAAAGGCATCCAGCCAGTAAAGGCTCAGCTCCATTAAGTTACCCCAACTCCATCTCGATGCAAGGGAATTCAGGGTCATTAAAAGAAAAAAAAATATGTATGTGTATATACACATGTACAGTGTGTGTGTGTGTGTGTGTGTGTGTGTGTGTGTGTGTGCTTGTTGGTGTGTATCCCCCAATCTTAGAAAGTAGTAGCAATAGGAATAAATAGGTGAAAATCAGCCATCCAACCAGTCTTTAGTAGCACCAACCTCCAAAATATCAGAAGCGAGAGAACCACGGTTAGAAGAGTGATAACAATACCTACTTATTTCAACCAACATTGTGTGAGGTTCAGAAGTGAAAATGAGTCAATTGACTGGGTTGTTTGTGTTGTGAGAATAGGGATGAAACCAGGGGTGAAATTCAGCAGGTTCTGACAATTTCTGGAGAACCGGTAGCGGAAATTTTGAGTAGTTTGGAGAACCGGCAAATATCACCTCTGGCTGGCCCCAGAGTGGGGTGGGAATGGGGATTTTGCAGTATCTTTCCCCTGGAGTGGGGTAGGAATGGAGATTTTGCAGTATCCTTCTCCTGCTATCCCCACCAAGCCACGCCCACAGAACTGGTAGGGAAAAAAAATTGAATTTCACCCCTGGATGAAACATTGCTAGACCAGCCAACTTTGAAAAAATGACCACAACCTCAAGGAAAAAGAAACCCTCCTTAACCATGTCTAGAAATTGGCACATACAGCAGGAGTTTTTACAATTCTTACCCATTAAAATTTAAATTAAAATAAATTAAAATACTGCATTTGTGCTGTCTTGGGTGAAGAGTAACTAAGATGCCTAAGTTATTTATGTCACAATGTCCTATATTTTTCCTGCATTCTCATCTGTCTTTGGATATCATATCTGGCAAGCGGATCTGGTGCATCGGCCTCTTCTCTGGATGTTGTTTGGACGTCTTTGTCTGCCAAGCAAAACTTCATGTAAAATTCATCTGGACTAATGAGGGAGGCCATGAAAGCTATTGGTTTAGTTTTAATTGCCTTTATCTTTATTTAATTGAGCAAAAGGAAAGGAAAAAATAGAGAGAGAGAATGAAAAAGAGAGAGAGAATATTGTTTTAATAAAAGTTAGTCTGTGTATTCCCCACCAGAGGTGGTATTCAGAAGCTTCTGACCAGTTCTGGAGAACCAGTAGCAGAAATTTTGAGTAGTTTGGAGAACTGGTAAATACCACCTATGACTGGCTCCACCCCTATCTATTCTCTGCCTCCCGAGTCCCAGCGGATCGGGAGGAAATGGGGATTTTGCAATTACCTTCCCCTGGAGTGGGGAGGGAACAGAGTGTTGTGGTCTGCCAGCAGTCTGCGGAGCTGGCAGCGGAGTCGGACAGTGAGGAGGCTGGAGAGGAACATGGGCCAGTCCTGGAGTCTGGAGAAGGCCTGGATAAGGGGTCTTCGTTGGAGGCAGAGATGGGGCCAGGGCCATCTGGGAATGATGTGCGGACTCCGGAGCCCCCAGAGTTGGACACCAGAGAGGCACACATAGTGCATGCATGCACAGAGCTGCCAGAAGGCAAGAGCAACTAAAGCAAAAGGGATGACTTGGGAGTAAGGCCAGGAGATGATTATTTATTTATTTATTTATTTATTTATTTATTTATTTATTTATTTAATTTGTATACCGCCCTACTCCCGAAGGACTCAGGGCGGTGAACAGCCATAAAATAAAACATATAGATACAAAATTTAAAATAGAGATAAAACAAATTAAATAAATTTGGCTGAACCATTTTAAAACCCCAATAATTTAAAACCAAATTTAAAATTCCCATTTAAAAGAGGAAAATTTAGGTCAGGCCAGCTTGATGAAATAGGAACATCTTAAGTGCGTGACGGAAGGTACGCAAATCCGGGATCCTCCGTATCTCTGGGGGGAGCTCGTTCCAGATAGTAGGTGCCCCCACAGAGAAGGCTCTCCCCCTGGGGCTGCCAGTCGACATTGTTTGGCCGACGGCACCCGGAGGAGCCCCTCTCTATGGGAGCGTACTGGTCGGTGAGAGGCTATTGGTGGTAGCAGGCGGTCCCGCAAATAACCAGGTCCTAAGCCATGGAGCGCTCTGAAGGTGATAACCAAAACCTTGAAGCGCACTCAGAAGACCACCGGGAGCCAGTGCAGCTCGCGCAGGAGAGGTGTTACATGGGAGTGCCACATCGCTCCCATCACCACCCGCGCGGCCGCACTCTGCGCCAGTTGGAGCCTCCGAGTGCTCCTCAAGGGGAGCCCCATGTAGAGAGTGTTACAATAGTCACAATATTATCCCCTCCCATAAGGCTTAAAAGAGAAACAAAGGCACTTGGGCCTTTTTGCAAGAAAGCAACGTTGCTAACTCTGTTTCCAGTTGGCGTCTCTTGTTTGTTTCATGGGGCTTTGCCAAGTAAGGCCTTTGGCAGGGTGTCAAAGAAGAAGAAGATAAAGGTTGGTGATTATCCCTAAGTATTTCTTCCAAAGGACTTGTTTTGCAACTAATTGGGACTCAGCTGGGATTGAACATAATTCTCATCTGTTACAATAAAATAGTTTTATTTGGGACTAATTATGTCTTGTAATGACTCAGTAAGCCTAGGTCACAACATGGAGATTTTACAGTATCTTTTCCCTGCCACGCCCATCAAGACAGGCCCACCAAGACAGGCCACGCCCACCAAGACACGCCCACAGAACCGGTAGTAAAAAAATTGGAATCCCACCGCTGATTCACCCATATATAACCTACATCTGTAAGCAACTTTTTTTCATAAATTGTGAGCAACATCAGGTTTTCAATACACTGAAGAAACATAACATAAATTTATCTTTCT